CCCTCTGACCATCGACTAGTCATCTGTAAGATGCGCCTGCCATTCTTCCACTCGGGTGGTGGGTGTACACGCAGGACCCCATTCCAACCTAAAGTGGCCTGGTCTCAGTTATCTGATGAAAGTTGCAAGCGAGAATTTCAACATCGCCTGCAGCTGGGGTTGGCATCGTCCCCCACTCCTCCTGATGTCGAGGGTAAATGGGCGAGGTTTAGGACTGTCACTCATGCAGTTGCATTGGCTGCTTTGGGTACGCGGTCCAGACCTCCCCAGAGACCCTGGCTGACAGAGGAGGTGTTCAGGATAGTTGAGAAAAAGCGACAGGCCCACTGTCATCGTCTACAGAATCCCACGTCAGAGAATGAGGAGGCTTACAGCAGCCTTCGCTCGGAGGTTTGGAGAGCCATGAGGCGCTGCAAGGATGGGTGGTGGTCGCGAGTTTCTGAGGAGATGGAGTCTGCCTCAGTGGCCCGCGATCACAAATCTCTATTTAACTCCATCAAAAAAGTAACCTGCAGCGCCACACCTATTACCATCATTAGGGGAAAAAACGATGATCCAATTTCCAACCCCCAGGAACAGGTTTGCAGATTTGCTGAGCATTTCTCTGAGGTCCTGGGGGAGGGAAAATCCCTCAGCCAGGAAAACATCGTGGCACAAAGTGAGGATGACCCTGCTGAGACTGCGGTGCCTCAAATATTGGAAGAAGTCACCCCCTGTGATTGGCTGGCTGAAGTGCCATTTGTTGAGGAAGAGCTGAAGGCGATCGGGAGTCTGAGACCAGGAGAGGCAGCGGGCAGAGATGATCTCCCAAGCGAAATGCTGAGGGAGGGTGGCGTTTGTGCACAGACTGCCCTATATGACATCATAACAACAGTCTGGACCACTGGACAGTTTCCGCAGGATTGGAAGGATGCCCTGGTGGTCCCCCTCTTTAAGAAAGGGGACCGCACAGACTGTAACAACTACAGGGGCGTCTCAGTCCTCAGTGTGCCGGGAAAGCTCCTGGCAAGGATTATTCAACATCACCTTGCCAGGCACGCTGAGGAGAGGCTTGCGGAGCCCCAATGTGGTTTCAGGAAAGCGCGGTCCTGCACAGATGCCATATTTTCCGTCCGTCTGCTACAGCAGAGGTGTAGGGAATTCCAGCAAGATCTACATCTCTGCTTTATTGACCTGGTCAAGGCCTATGATGCTATCAATAGGCCTGGGCTCTGGGTTGTTCTTCGTGCTTTTGGAGTACCTGACCCTCTGCTCACGATCATTAAGGACCTTCATGATGGTAAGCAGGCCCGGGTAAAACTACGTGGCCAGGAGTCAGAGCCATTCCCTGTACACCTTGGGGTACGACAGGGATGTCCTCTGGTTCCCACATTATTTAACATCTATTTTGACCACGTCATTCGTGAAGCCTTCAATAGCTGTACCGGGTGAATCTCCATATGGTACAGATATAATGGGAGGCTGATCGATGCCCGGGTGCGGTCAAGGGATGGCTGCCTATTGTTCAACCACTTTATGTATGCCGATGATTTGGTAATAGCTGCTCATTCAGAGGAGGAGTTGGATACGCTGCTGCTGAGACTGGAGCCTGCCACTAAGAGATGTGGCCTTACCATTAGCCCCACCAAAACTAAGCACCTGCCTGGGTATTTTGTACCATCGGACACTTCACCCCCACAACTCCCAATCGGTGATGGGGCAGTTGTGGAAAGAGTGGAGAGTTTCCCATACCTGGGCAGTGTGCTTATGACCGGCTCCAGTTTAACAGCAGAGGTCTCACTCCGAATCAGTCGAGCGGCAATTTATTTTCATCGGTTGCGTAACGCTGTGTGGAAGCTACCTGGTCTGTCGCTCCGCACTAAGCTTCAGGTCTTCTCGGCCACGGTCATTCCCTCCCTTCTCTACGCTTGCAAAACGTGAACCCCCCTAATGGAACATATTCGCCGGTTAGAAACATTTAGGCTAGCCTGCCTACTATCCATCCTGGGTTTAACCAGGCTGGATTGTGTGAGGAGCTCACAAATCCTTGAAAGATCTGTGAGCTCCTCCGGCAGGCAAGGCTGCTTTGGCTGGGTCATGTAGCCCGCATGCCCAGCCACCGCATGCCGAAACAGCTTTTGTTCGGTCGGATCGAGGGGGCTAAACGGGCGCGGCACGGGCTGGAGAAGAGATGGAGTGATGTGGTACAGGAGGACGTGGAGCTGAGTGGACTTGCCGATGACTGGTACCAGCAGTGTCAAGATCGGCCTCTGTGGAGGAGGCTCGTGAAGGACGCTGCTTGGCAGTTGGAGGTAGTCGCCCTCCAACAACAACGGAGGGCGGAGGAGCGACGCTCACAACAATGAGCGGAGCGCCGGGTGGCTAAGGCACAGCAGGTTGGCACAGTAGGGGGCACAGGTGGTGCACCAGCCAGTCATCTCAGTCATCTCAGTCAGTCGACGCGTGGCACCTGGGTCTGCTCCGTGACCTCCTGCCAGCGGGCGTTCGACACTTCACGTCGCCTCAAGGTGCACATGGCCTGGCACAAGCGTCGTGGTGATGTCACCGCCACTTAGTGCCAAATGGCGGTTGTTGTTGTCTGTGTCTGTCTGTGTGTGTCTATGTGTGTGTCTGTCTGTGTGTGTCAGTCTGTGTGTGTGTGATAGGAAGCGGTCGCGGTTAGCGCTACGCTGCGCTATGAATCCGGCAACCCGGGTTCGATTCCCGCTCACGGCCAACACCGGTGACCATTATTTTAACCGGTCCTGGGCCTCCCCTACGTCGACTCAGCCTCAAATGAGTACCTGGTGCGAAGTGTAAACATCGCCACTGGGGATGCAAAGTGCTGTTAGCAAGTACCTATGAAAGCCGGAATGGCACACGAGGGGGTGGGTGGCCAGCACCATGCTCGGACGCCTTTGTCTCCCTAGCGGCGATGTTTACACACCGCACCAGGTACTCATTTTGAGGCGTTATTGGCCGTGAGCGAGAGTCGAACTCGGATCCACCCACTCACTCACCTACTCTGAGCACTCACTGGCTCGCTCACCCACCCACTCAGTCACCCACTCACCCACCCACCTACCCACTCACCCACCCACTCACCCACCCACTCACCCACCCACCCACCCACTCACTCACCCACTCACTCACTCACTCACCCAATCACTCACCCACCCACCCACTCACCCACCCATCCACTCACCCACCCATCCACTCACCCACTCACACACTCACCCACCCACCTACCCACTCACCCACCCACCTACCCACTCACCCACCCATCCACTCACCCACCCACACACTCACCCACCTACCCACTCACCCACCCACTCACCCACTCACTCACCCACCCACCCACCCACTCACCCACTCACTCACTCGCCCACCCACTCACCCACTCACTCACTCACCCACTCACTCACCCACTCACTCACTCACCCACTCACTCACCCAATCACTCACTCACCCATCCACCCACTCACCCACCCACCCACTCACCCACCCATCCACTCACCCACCCAACCACTCACCCATTCACACACTCACCCACCCACCTACCCACTCACCCACCCACCTACCCACTCACCCACCCATCCACTCACCCACCCACACACTCACCCACCTACCCACTCACCCACCCACTCACCCACTCACTCACCCACCCACTCACTCACCCACTCACTCACTCGCCCACCCACTCACCCACTCACTCACCCACTCACTCACCCACTCACTCACTCACCCACTCACTCACCCACTCACTCACTCACCCACTCACTCACCCACCCACGCAAATAAGACAAATGATGGCCTCTTGAGTTGTGGTCACACGAACTCAACTCAACCCCAGAAACATCCGCGACGTTGCCCCCGCGGGCCCTCCACGTCACACCAGGCAGGTTCACTTACACGGTATTATTTACTTTGTAATCCTTTGACTTTACTCAGTTCATCTTGGCTATTTATTGAAAGGTGTGTCTGTTACCCAATAATCACTAATCGTGTAGCTATGCTGCATGTAAAACTAAAAACTATTAAACTCGTTTACATTTTACCAAGTAAGCCCCCACTAAGCTACGTAGCTCTTTCTCAGAAGCGACCTGGCCACACACGATAGCTCAACGAAGTGGCTTGTCGCGTTGAAATGTAAAGCAGCCAAATACTCTGAAAGCATGTTTATTCTAAATGTGGAATGAAAACCCGCAGCGCCTGAAGAAAATCAACGCTACACGACCACGAGGAGAGGCAGAGACACGCAGACTCAAAATATACAGCAGCAGGCGTCAGGGTCGGGGTCGAACCCACGACCTCCTGTACACCAGGCGAGGGAGTTAACATCTCATAGCCACCGTGATGATGATGATGATGAGAGACGCAGACTCAAACTATACAGCAGCAGGCGTCAGGGTCTGGGTCGAACCCACGACCTCCTGTACACCAGACGAGGGAGTTAACATCTCCTAGCCACCGAGGGGACCGACTCGGGTTTCGCGAGTCTGGAGGAGACCCTCTCACGGTAGCATTGTGCCTGCCTATTTACACAACTATTGATCGGGAAACAAGTTCTAGTGGTTCTGATCAGTTCCCCCCCCCCCTTGTGTAAACAAACAAGGGCTGTCTCCAGCTCTTCTTGTCCACTGTGTCTGGCATCACTATTTTATGTGCCATGAAGGGCCATTGCCCGAAACGTCACCAATGTTTCCTTTTAAGGCCACACACACGCGGTGTTATCGGCACGCACCATGTTGAGTTTTGTTTGGTGCCCGGTGTTTATTGTAAATAAACCACGAGTGTAAACAACAACAGCAGCACACACACGGACTCGTGTACACGAAGCACTCGCCTCTGGTGCTCGATGCAAAACAACCATCGGCAATTCCTGAACAACTACATTGTGGCCCCCTTGTCTCATAAACAATGTATTTATTCAGGAAGACCACCCTGACTCAAAGGACTCCTTTTAAGGAGTATGCTGAATTGGGTTTTTATTTTAAGTTGTGTTCAGCCAACCAATGACGAGTTGTGTTCAGCCAACCAATGACGAGTTGTGTTCAGCCAACCAATGACGAGTTGTGTTCAGCTAACCAATGACGAGTTGTGTTCAGCCAACCAATGACGAGTTGTGTTCAGCCAACCAATGACGAGTTGTGTTTATCATTCACGTGGGGGGGAGGTAGAAGCTCAGAGCACCCGGAGAAAACCCAGGGCTTGGGCGAGGGGGCAATGCTCTATCCCCGTAGAGATTGAAATAGATGGCGATTAGTCCACTTGCTGTACCACTGTCTGATGGCGAGCCAGGGCATGGTACCTCCTCGACGCCCACCCACAGGAAGGGAGTTTCACACCATCTGTGTGTGATCCACCAACCCTCGACGTTGCCTCCACAGTGCAGGGTCACAGGCCACGTGCAGCACTGCCACCATCGCCAGCCCGTGTGTACACAACTCTGTGTTGCTGTGCGATACTCATCCCAGCAGCGTGCGCCGTGATGGTGTGATGGTGGGGCTTTCTCGTCAATGCAGATGTTGTGATTGTTGTTGGCTGTCACCAAGCTCATGGGTCTCAAGAGTGGATGTGGGCACTCCACACATACAGTATACGCTTGCCAGAGGGAGACTTTGCAGCAGTGAGGATCGGTGACTGTACCGTGCTGATGAGTCCTGGTGATGATGAAACCGGTCCACTGCGTCACCTGCTGCTGCTGTCAGTCAGTCACATTCGCTCACATTTATTGTGATGGACACCGAGCAAGATGCCTACAATGCAGTTCTTGAGGAACTGCTGATGGCATTATTGTTCATAGAGCACACACGCCCGAGTCTTTCAACACTCTCCCCTTGTGCTATTGGAAATTCACAGGCAGCAGGCAAGTGGGTTTCCACCCCGAGTCACATTTAAGACATTTATGGCAAGCTCCTTTTATAGATGTTTATTTATATCATAAGCCGTAGATACGACGTCGTCTTTTAACCCACACGTGATTCAAACAGCTTTAGATCCTAAGTCCCTAAATCTGACGTCTACCATCATCACATCAGTAGCTGACGCCGCAAGATTTTGTTTCAGTAGGCTGACTAATCCCTGACTTTAAGACGACATCTCCTGAGGGCACCGAGGACGGCTCCTCCAAACGATGAGGAACCCCCATTCCAGAAGACATTTTCCTGCGGAGACGGAAGAAACGTTCGGCCAAAAACACGAGGCCCGTTCTTCTGGAAGACGTCTTTCAACGTGAGCTTTACCCAGAGACCTGCCTGGAACTCCCTGAAGACCTACCTGGACCTACTCAGAGACCTAACACTACCTGGGGACCTCCCTGGAGACCTACCTGGACCTACTCAGAGACCTGTCTAACACTGCCTGGGGACCTGCCTGGAACTCCCTGGAGACCTACCTGGACCTACTCAGAGACCTGTCTAAAACTACCTGGGGACCTCCCTGGAGACCTACCTGGACCTACTCAGAGACCTGTCTAACACTACCTGGGGACCTCCCTGGAGACCTACCTGGGCCTACGCAGAGACCTGTCTAACACTGCCTGGGGACCTGCCTGGAACTCCCTGGAGACCTACCTGGACCTACTCAGAGACCTGTCTAACACTGCCTGGGGACCTGCCTGGAACTCCCTGGAGACCTACCTGTACCTACTCAGAGACCTGTCTAACACTACCTGGGGACCTGCCTTGAACTCCCTGGAGACCTACCTGTACCTACCCAGAGACCTGTCTAACACTACCTGGGGACCTCCCTGGAGACCTACCTGGACCTACTCAGAGACCTGTCTAACACCACCTGGAGACCTACCTGGATCTACTCATAGACCTGTCTAACACTACCTACGGAACTCCCTGGAGACCTACCTGTACCTACTCAGAGACCTGTCTAACACTACCTGGGGACCTCCCTGGAGAAATACCTGTACCTACTCAGAGACCTGTCTAACACTACTTGGGGATCTGCCTGGAACTCCCTGGAGACCTACCTGTACCTACTCAGAGACCTGTCTAAAACTACCTGGGGACCTACCTGGAACTCCCTGGAGACCTACCTGGACCTACTCAGAGACCTGTCTAACACCATCTGGGGACCTGCCTGGTACTCCCTGGAGACCTACCTGTACCTACTCAGAGACCTGTCTAACACTACCTGGGGACCTCCCTGGAGAAATACCTGGACCTACTCAGAGACCTGTCTAACACTACCTGCGGAACTCCCTGGAGACCTACCTGTACCTACTCAGAGACCTGTCTAACACTACCTGGGGACCTCCCTGGAGAAATACCTGTACCTACTCAGAGACCTGTCTAACACTACTTGGGGATCTGCCTGGAACTCCCTGGAGACCTACCTGTACCTACTCAGAGACCTGTCTAACACTACCTGGGGACCTCCCTGGAGAAATACCTGGACCTACTCAGAGACCTGTCTAACACTACCTTGGGATCTGCCTGGAACTCCCTGGAGACCTACCTGGACCTACTCAGAGACCTGTCTAACACTACTTGGGGACCTCCCTGGAGAAATACCTGGACCTACTCAGAGACCTGTCTAACACTACCTTGGGATCTGCCTGGAACTCCCTGGAGACCTACCTGGACCTACTCAGAGACTTAACACTACCTGGGTCTTCACCTGGAGCTGCCTGCCCTGGGGTGGGGGAGGGGGGGTAGTGGTGGGGTGCCTTCCGTGAGGTGAAGTCTCGTCCTTGCCTGGTCTCGTCTCTGCAGGCCCCGTATCACCTAGCCTAGCCCGGTGTCCGACCCCGTCCTCCGCCTGTATCTTACATGCGCCCAAGGCACACCAAACGCCTCGGAGCAGAGGTTTCCCGAGTCTGGAGGGGACCCTCGAATGGTAGCCGTTGGGAAGAAGGTTCCATGAGACTACGGAGCGGTGGGTGAAGGTATTTGAAGGCGACTTATTAAGGAGGTCAAGATGCCCAGCGCCATCCCTTGTCTATGTTGGGTTCCACTGGGTGGTCATGATTCCAGGCCTCGCACTCCACAGACAGCCGCCCTCATTCCACGTTCATTTTGTACATGAATGTAGCATTGTTACCCTTTGAGCATTCGGTTTCTCTCATTTGCTTTGGTCTGTCCTGGTAAGGCATGGGGAACAGGTGAGATACGAGAGAGGTGAGGAATCAAGTGAGGCACAGGAGAGAGCTGAGGTGAGGGACCAGGTGAGGCAACAGGTGATGGACTAGGTGAGGAGTATGGAACAGGCGGGAGATGCGGCATCGGGTGAAGCACAGGTGAGAATTAAGGTGTGTGTGTACGTGGGGGTGAGGCACCAGGTGAAGAGAAACAGGTGAGACACAGGTGAGGCAAAGGTAAGGAGTGAGAGACCAGGTGAGGGGGCAGCATCAGAACACGAATCTGGAATCTCATCCTAGGCTCCGTGACGTCATAACTAATCACCATGTCACCATCATCACCATTAACATTTTTACGATTATCATCATCAGTAATATTAATATCATCATGTTTAACTTCATAATATTCACGTGATACATCGCCATCAACATCAGCGGCACGTTGAAGTCGGACACGGCCGGCACGCGGGGTCAATTGGTACGCCGCATTAATTAACTCGGATGTCGCAACTCCGTGACGTCACCCGTGTTATTTGCGGGGGCGTGGGGGGAGGTGTCACCCCCCCCCCCACACCTCCACCACCGCCCTGGTGAAGGGCTACCACGTGGGGGTAGGCGAGGGGGGGGGGTCAGTGTACGGGCCCCGAGGGCGACTTGAGCGCGTGATAGCCCAGACTCCCGCCCCCCCCGGAGCACGTGACTCCCTCCAGAGGGGTGGAGCAGGGGGGGTCCTCCACCCCTCCTCCCACAGTGGAGCCCCCCTTCCCGGAGCAACGCAGAGCGAGGAACTTGAGGCGGCGGCGACTGGCAGAAGGAGCGGGGGTGGGTGGGGGGGGAGATGTCACGTGAACGGGTGTCATGTAGTCATGGCTTTGTCATGAAGGTATGGAGTTGTGTGATGAGGTGTATGATGAGGTGCGAGTGTGTGACGAGGTGTGAGTGCGGTTAGCGCTACGCTGCGCTGCTAACCCGGCGACCCGAGTTCGATTCCCGCTCACGGCCAACATCATTGGCGATTATCTGAGTCGATCCTGGGCCTCCCCTAGATCGACTCAGCCTCAAATGAGTACATGGTATGGTGTGTAAACATCGCCACTGGGGAGACAAAGGCGGCCGGTCATGGTTCTGGCCACCCACCCCCTCGTGCGCCATTCTGGCCTTCATAGTTGCTCGCTAACAGCACTTGCCCCAACGGTCTGTTAAGGCTATACGGGTGATCTTTGTCTTTGTAATGAAGTGTGAGTGATGAGGTGAGGTCCTCGTCCTCACCAAGTGTAGAGGAGCACGGAGGCCGTGATGAGGGTCAGGAAGCCAAGGAAGATGGCGAGGATGAAGAGGTTGGAGCAGAGGAGTTTAGTACACTTTGGAGGATCTGCCACACCAGGCCGCACCATACCAACCACACTTTATAAACCACACCAACCACAACTCATCAACCACATAATCCACACCCATGATGACGATGATGGTGACGATGATGATGGTGATGATGATGGAGATGCTGATGGTGACGATGACAGTTATGATGCTGATTGTGACGATGATAATTACAATGATAGTAACGATGATCATAATGTTACCTGTTGTGAAGCACTCCCCCCACTCTTCGTTGGGCGATGCTGTTAATATCCCGGCCGTCGTCACATTCTCTGAGGTGGTGGTTTCTGTGCCACCACACGCAATCACACACAACCTTACGCAACCACATGCAACTTTACAAAACTGAACCCAACCACACATGACGATTCATCCATATACCCAGAGCCTTCACTCAACAACTCACTCACCCACTCACTAAGTCACCCACTCACCACACTGCAGGTCACCTCACTTCTCTCTCCGCTCCTTCCCTCTCACTGCTTCACGTTGGAATGTCCTCCCTTCATCTCTTCCACCCCCACAAGCTGTTGTCATAACCTCGCTCAACGCTGTCTGTTGCTGGCCACGTGCTTGGAAACTTTGATACAAATAAAAATCCGTAGCACCACCACCAGAGGGCGCATAGCTCACAGAGAAGGCCCTTGCCGATGACATCTGGCAGTTCACCAGCATTGGTTCCGATGTGAGCCTGGCTTTGCTGATAAAACACAGAACCTGGAAAACAGTCCAGAATTTGCCTGTATAGTAGTCCGTCGGTTAACGTTTTTAATCAGTTCCACGAAAACTACTGCTCACCGAAATAACGGTTAATCCAATATGGGAGCCTGCATGTTAACTGTTTCCACTGCCAAAACAGAAAACGAAATGTAAACAAAGCCAGTCGAGGTATGAAGGGTCACAAATGGGCGTCGCTGTTTGGCTGATGCATCCTCAGCCCACTTACGAGCGCTCGGATTGTAAATTGGCGCCCGCGTGCATAACGTAAACACATTACCGCTCGTCAAAATGTTAACGTTAGTCGAAACCATGGGGTCCTATGGGAAGCAAAACATGAACCGAAAAACCGTGAACCGATGTCACTATTAACCGAGGAACTCCTGTATTGCACCAATACTACTGCGCTTATGGAATTGCAGTGGGGAGGCAGTGTGGCTTGTAGGATGGGTAAACATTTATTCATGGATTCAGACAAATGCATCGTGCATTTGAGAATCTAGGGAGACGAAGGTGGTCGAGCACTGCCCCCTCAAGCGCCATTCTGGCCTTCATCGGTGCTCGCACACAGCACTTGCCTCAAACAGCCTGTGGAGACTACACGGGTGATCTTTGTATTGGTGTGTTTTGTGGTAGCGCTGTCAGAATGGTTAGCGCATTGAACCCAGTGGCCCTAGTTCGATTCCTGGCCATGGCTATTGATAATTATCTGAACCAGCCATAGGCCTCGCCTAAGTCGAATCGGCCTTCGTAGGTGCTGCTCGTAAACAGAACTTGTCTCAACAGCCTATGCAGGCTACAACGGAGACCTTTATATTCTAATCTAATCTCTTAAGTCTTCATGGCGTTGGCTGAAAGGTTCCAGTTACCGTATTTTCCCGCATATAGCCCGCATACACATATAACCCGCAGACGCATATACCCTGCAAAAATTGCGTTTTGTGTAAAACAAATTTCAGAGAGCCCGCACCTCCATATACCCCACATTCATTCATATCTATAACGTCGTTACCATAGCTTAATTCCATCATATTAATACGAAGTTTACATTTGTAATACATTCCACTTTCAGTTGTTAACATTAAAATACGTGCACAAAGAAAAACTAACCGGAAACGAGTTAACTTAAAACAGTAAATAAGTAACACAAGTAAATATCCAATAAATAAGTAACACATAACTTGTAGATAAGTAAGTAAGTAAGCGTACTGTGAGGCTTACCAGCATTCGACCTCATCATATGACCGGTAGTTACGTCTGTACAGTTTTAGCACTGGTAGATTCCGCACTGCGCAGACAATAGCGGCACTACGGTTACGCCATTGCCTCGCCCCCAACCCCCACCTCTCTCTACCCCCACTTCAAACATTGTCGTTTCATTGTACAAACCATTCGAATAATTAAAAACGTGATAACATGTGCAATTTCTGTGTGAGTGGTTTGTTCAGCAGTGCTTTAGTCAAAGGTAAGTGTTGCATAGTGAATGGTCCTACCATGAAAATTTTAACGAGTTACAGTGAGGGAAAAAAGTATTTGATCCCCTGCAGATTTTGTACGTTTGCCCACTGACAAAGAAATGGTCAGTATATAATTTTAATGGTAGGTTTATTTGAACAGTGAGACAGAATAACAACAAAACAATCCAGAAAAACGCATGTCAAAAATGTTATGTTAATGAGGGAAATAAGTATTTGACCCCCTCTCAATCAGAAAGATTTCTGGCTCCCAGGTGTTTTTTATACAGGTAAAGAGCTGAGATTAGGAGCACACTCTTAAAGGGAGTGCTCCTAATCTCAGCTTGTTACTTGTATAAAAGACACCTGTCCACAGAAGCAATCAATCAATCAGATTCCAAACTCTCCACCATGGCCAAGACGAGACCTCTCCAAGGATGTCAGGGACAAGATTGTAGACCTACACAAGGCTGGAATGGGCTACAAGACCATTGCCAAGAAGCTTGGTGAGAAGGTGACAACAGTTGGTGCGATTATTCGCAAATGGAAGAAACACAAAAGAACTGTCAATCTCCCTCGGCCTGGGGCTCCATGCAAGATCTCACCTCGTGGAGTTGCAATGATCATGAGAACGGTGAGGAATCAGCCCAGAACTACACGGGAGGATCTTGTCAATGATCGCAAGGCAGCTGGGACCATAGTCACCAAGAAAACAATTGATAACACACTATGCCGTGAAGGACTGAAATGCTGCAGCGCCCGCAAGGTCCCCCTGCTCAAGAAAGCACATATACATGCCCGTCTGAAATTTGCCAATGAACATCTGAATGATTCAGAGGACAACTGGGTGAAAGTGTTGTGGTCAGATGAGACCAAAAGGGAGCTCTTTGGCATCAACTCAACTCGCCGTGTTTGGAGGAGGAGGAATGCTGCCTATGACCCCAAGAACACCATCCCCACCGTCAAACATGGAGGTGGAAACATTATGCTTTGGGGGTGTTTTTCTGCTAAGGGGAATGGACAACTTCACCGCATCAAAGGGACGATGGACGAGGCCATGTACCGTCAAATCTCGGGTGAGAACTTCCTTCCCTCAGCCAGGGCATTAAAAATGGGTCGTGGATGAGTATTCCAGCATAACAATGACCCAAAACACACGGCCAAGGCAACAAAGGAGTGGCCTAGCCAGTCTCCAGACCTTAATCCCATAGAAAATCTGTGGAGGGAGCTGAAGGTTCGAGTTGCCAAACGTCAGCCTCGAAACCTTAATGACTTGAAGAAGATCTGCAAAGAGGAGTGGGACAAAATCCCTCCTGAGATGTGTGCAAACCTGGTGGCCAACTACAAGAAACGTCTGCCCTCTGTGATTGCCAACAAGGGTTTTGCCACCAAGTACTAAGTCATGTTTTGCAGAGGGATCAAATATTTTTTTCCCTCACTAAAATGCAAATCAATTTATAACATTTTTGACATGCGTTTTTCTGGATTTTTTTGTTGTTGTTATTCTGTCTCTCACTACTCTTTGGTTCTATTCGGTAAAGTCACGTAGGTAAAAAATAAAACAACAAAAATCACGATGTTTCGGCCACAACACAAGTGGCCTTCATCAGGTGAAGGGACCAGACTGTCTAGAGGACAGCGCTGGAGTGAACAAATCTCACGAGGCAATTCAGATTTACAAACACAGACACAATTTCAACCGAGAGGATGGTTTCAAATTAAGCAACCATTGGAAAGATGTTCTGAATCAAGCCAAACATTAAACTAATTTTCAATGGTACAGTATATTTTTTCAAGTAGTGGTATCCCAAACTTTCGCAGCTGCTTAAATTCCCTTTTCACACCATCAACATGTAAACTCCCCCTCCCCACCTCGCCGGCCTGCACATGTTCACCCCCTCTACACCGTTCATCATGCTAAGTCCACCAATTAAATGCTAATTTTCATGCTAATTCCTTTGTCAAGGCGCTCTGTTTCCTCTCACACAGCTTAAAGGTCACGGTCTGAGCTTGGCTGTGTTCACTCCAGCGCTGTCCTCTAGACAGTCCGGTCCCTTCACCTGATGAAGGCCACTTGTGTTGTGGCCAAAACGTCGTGATTTTTGTTGTTTTATTTTTTACCTCCGTGACTTTATCGAATAGAACCAAAGAGTATGGATCCTTGCAGTCACGAAAGCTTTAAATCTAGAACTGCCTCTCACTGTTCAAATAAACCTACCATTTAAATGATAAACCGATCATTTCTTTGTCAGTGGGCAAACGTACAAAATCAGCAGGGGATCAAATACTTTTTCCCTTACTGTATGACATGTCACCTCCATATACCCCGCAGGGTCTTGTTTTATTTGTAAAAAGTGGTATACCCCGCGGGTTACTGTACTCAGAGCCTTACATTATGTCTAAAACATTCCAAGCGTGCCCCCAGTGGCAGCTAAACCGCCATCCCTGTGCGGTTCCTGCTGAACGTGTGATACCAATTCAGAGATATGCGGCGCAATTTTTCGACTTTGTACAAATTCCGATTCGTGACACTCCCGTGAACGATGTCACCGCAAGTGAAGCAGGCGGTGGCAAGTAAAAATGTCACGGTCAATACCCTGGACTCGAGTATTAATCGGGGTGGCCCGCCAAATTAACAAGCGCGGTGGCGCAGGCGAGCGTCACCACCGGGACAGGACTGACCGACCCAGGAGCTCCCGGCACCGCTCCACTCGCTCCAATTGCCCACGAAGCGGTCGCGCGCTGCCACCTCGACGAGCAGCGGCGCGCCGGGCCGAGCGTCCTTCACGAGGAACCGCGGCTCGTCCAGCCTGTCGTCCAACTGGGGCCGTGTAGGAGGGGCAGCGGGGGGGTGGCACCGCACGGGGGAGACACGCAGAGACACGCGGTAAGACGCGGTGACGCGCAGAGTGGCGAACTAGACGCAGGGACACGTGTAGAGTCGCACAGAAACATGCAGAGAGACAGATACGTGGGCGTATAGAAACGTAGGGAGACGTACTGACACACAGAGACACTGACACGCACGGGCATTTTTCAATCCACTGCGGGATGCAGGCTTCCCTACCCAGTGTGCAGGGCTTCCTTTCTCTTTCCCTAACCCTCCCCCATTCCCCCCCCCCCCAACTCACCACCCTCCATGTTTCATGCTGCGGGTGGCGCGAACGCACGGCGTACAGCAGCTGGAACCCGGGGTCGTTGGACCACGTGGGCGGCATTTGCCACGTAACCAGCAGTTGGCGTGGCTGTCCGGACACGGGTGTCATCGTCACCCCGATGGGGGGGTCCGGCATCACTGCAGAGGGAAGGGGGTGGGGGGATTGTTCATGAGAGAGAAGGTGGGGAGCAGAGGGTTTATACATGGGGGAATGTAGGAGTACAGGAGGAAGAGACAACGTGGGGCAGCAGAGTGAGAGACCGATAGGTACACATAGCGAGACACGTGGAGACTTAGGGGGAGACACGGGGAGACTTAGGGGGAGACACGGGGAGATTTAGGGGGAGACACGGGGAGACTTAGGGGGAGACACGGGGAGACTTGGGGGGAGACACGGGGAGACTTAGGGGAAGACACGGGGAGAAGGGGGAGACACGTGGAGACTTAGGGGGAGATACGGGGAGACTTAGGGGGAGACACGGGGAGACTTAGGGGGAGACACGGGGAGACTTGGGGGGAGACACGGGGAGACTTAGGGGAAGACACGGGGAGAAGGGGGAGACACGTGGAAACTTAGGGGGAGACACGGGGAGACTTAGGGGGAGACACGGGGAGATTTAGGGGGAGACACGGGGAGACTTAGGGGGAGACACGGGGAGACTTAGGGGGAGACACGGGGAGACTTGGGGGGAGACACGGGGAGACTTAGGGGGAGACACGGGGAGAAGGGGGAGACACGTGGAGACTTAGGGGGAGACACGGGGAGACTTAGGGGGAGACACGGGGAGACTTAGGGGGAGACACGGGGAGACTTAGGGGGAGACATGGGGAGACTTAGGGGGAGACACGTGGAGAAGGGGGAGACACGGGTAGACTTAGGGGGAGACACGTGGAGAAGGGGGAGACACGTGGAGACTTAGGGGGAGACACGGGGAGACTTAGGGGGAAACACGGGAAGACTTAGGGGGAGACACTGGCAGACCAGCTCCAGGACACCCCGTCTCCCCCAGGCCCCCCGCCCCCCCGTACCAATGGAATCGAGCAGGAAGAACGTGGTGGCCGTGCGGCTGTGGCCATAGGCGTTGATGGCCCTGGCGCTCACACGGTACCGGCTCGTGCTGAACAGCAACGGATCGCGCACCGTGCAGGTCCCCACCGTGGCAGCAGGAGGGGCCCCTGTGGAGGGAGCCCCGCTGGGGGGGGCCTCGGGGGGGCACGGCAACTCCAAGCCGTTGGACGCGTGCCTGCACACGCCACGCGCAGAGACACGCCGCGCCCACAGACACGCCGCGCCCACAGACACGCCGCGCCCACAGACACGCCGCGCCCACAGACACGCCGCGCCCACAGACACGCCGCGCCCACAGACACGCCGCGCCCACAGACACGCCACGCGTGCACGGATGAGAAGGCAGACGAATGGATGGAGCGGCAGACGGATGAAGAGACGGTGCGGACAGGCCCCCGGTGCCGGACTCACCAGTACGTGGCGACCACGGTGTCGGCTAGCCCCCCTGTGGGGGGCACGCGCCAGGAGCAGGTGAAGCTCTCGGGGTAACTCCGCGAGCGACAGTGCAGCTCGGGCACCGCGGGGGGCTCTGTGCCAGGACACAAAAACCATCACCACCACCAACATAACCACCAAACCATCACCACCACCATCAACAACAACAACAACCGCCATTCGCCACTAAGTGGCGGTGACGTCACCACGACGCTTGTGCCAGGCTATGTGCACCCTGAGGCTACATGAAGTGTCGAATGCCCGCTGGCAGGAGGTCACGGGGCAGACCCTGGTGCCACGGGTCGACTGACTGAGATGACCGAGATGACTGGCTGATGCACCACCTGTGCCCCCTACTGTGCCATCCTGCTGTGCTTTAGCTACCCGGCGCTCCGCTCGTTGTTCTGAGCGTCGCTCCTCCGCCCTCCGTTGTTGTTGGAGGGCGACTACCTCCAACTGCCCAGTAGCATCCTTCACGAGTCTCCTCCACAGAGGCCGATCTTGACACCGCTGGTACCAGTCATCGGCAAGTCCACTCAGCTCCACGTCTTCCTGTACCACATCACTCCATCTCTTCTCTAGCCCGTGCTGCGCCTGCTTTGCCCCCTCGATCCGGCCGAACAAAAGCTGTTGAGGCATGCGGTGGCTGGGCATGCGGGCTACATGACCCAGCCATCGCAGCCTTGCCTGCCGGAGGAGCTCACCGATGGGACCTTGCCCAGATCTTTCAAGGATTTGTGAGCTCCTCACACAATCCAGTCTGGTTAAACCCAGGATGGATCGTAGGCAGGCCAGCCTAAATGTTTCTAACCGGCGAAGATGTTCCATTAGGGGGGTCCACATTTCGCAAGCGTAGAGAAGGGAGGGAATGACCGTGTCCGAGAAGACCTGAAGCTTAGTGCGGAGCAACAGACCAGGTAGCTTCCACACAGCGTTACGCAACCGATGAAAAGATATTGCCGCTCGACTGATTCGGAGTGAGACCTCTGCTGTTAAACTGGAGCCGGTCATAAGCACACTGCCCAGGTATGGGAAACTCTCCACTCTTTCCACAACTGCCCCATCACCGATTGGGAGTTGTGGGGGTGAAGTGTCCGATGGTACAAAATACCCAGGCAGGTGCTTAGTTTTGGTGGGGCTGATGGTAAGGCCCCATCTCTTAGTGGCACGCTCCAGTCTCAGCAGCAGCGTCTCCAACTCCTCCACTGACTGAGCAGCTATTACCAAATCATCAGCATACATAACGTGGTTGAGCAATAGGGAACCATCCCTTGACCGCACCCGGGCATTGATTAGCCTCCCATCATATCTGTACCATATGGAGATTCCCCCGGTACAGCTATTGAAGGCTTCACGTACTACGTGGTCAAAATAGATGTTATATAATGTGGGAGCCAGAGGACATCCCTGTCGCACCCCAAGGTGTACAGGGAATGGCTCTGACTCCCGGCCACGTAGTTTTACCCGGGCCCGCTCACCATCATGAAGGTCCTTAATGATCGTGAGCAGAGGGTCAGGTACTCCAAAAGCACGAAGAACGACCCAGAGCCCAGGCCTACTGATGGTATCATAGGCCTTGACCAGGTCAATAAAGCAGAGATGTAGGTCTTGTTGGAATTCCCTACACCACTGCTGTAGCAGACGGACAGAAAATATGGTATCTGTACAGAACCACCCTGGCCTGAAACCACATCGGGGCTCCACAAGCCTCTCCTCAGCGTGCCTGGGAAGGCGACGTTGAATAATCATTGCCAGGATCTTTCCTGGCACACTGAGGAGGGAAATGCCCCTGTAATTGTAGTTTGTGCGGTCCTCCTTCTTAAAGAGGGGGATCACCAGGGCATCCTTTCAATCCGGCGGAATCCATACAGTGATCCAGAATGTTACGATGTCATATAGGGCAGTCTGCACACAAACGCCACCCTTCCTCAGCAGTCCGCTTGGGTGATCATCTCTGCCTGGCGCTTTTCCTGGTCTCAGACTCTGGATCACCTTCAGTACTTCCTCAACAGATGGCACTTTAGCCAGCCACTCACAGGGGGTGGCTACTTCTTCCAATATTTGAGGCACTGCAGCCTCAGCAGGGTCATCCCCACGTTGCCCTATGATGTTTTCCAGGCTGAGGGATTTCCCCTCCCCCAAGACCTCACTGAAATGCACAGCAAATCTGAAAAACCTGTTTCTGGGGGCTGGAGATCGGGTCACCTTTCTTTCTGCGAAGCATGGCGATGGGTGGAGCGCTGCAAGTTACACTTCTCATCGAGTTAAAGAGTGATTCGTGATCACGAGCTACTGAGGCAGATTACATCTGGGGGAACAGTGTCTTGGTAATTACAAGCATATGGACTCCACAGAAGTCTTGCAGCCTCCTACCGTTGTTGTTGAGCTGATCTGGCCCATGATTTCCAATCACTCCAGCCCAGGTGCCTGCGTCATGACTAACTCGGGCATTCAAGTCACCCAATAGGATATCTCGAGAGGCCACTTTAGCTATGATCTGTGACTGGATGTCATAGAAGGCATCTGACTCATCGGCTTTGTCTGCATCCCTCCACTGATGTTTGTCTTCAGTGGGGGCATAAGCCACCACCACCATTCCTCACCGCCATCACCACCATCTTCATCATCACCATACCATCACGACCTCCACCATCACCACCATCACAACTACCACCACTGTCATCACTTACTCCCCATCCGACCCCCACTCAGCTCCCCCTTGCCCACCCGCACCCCCTCACCTCCGACCCTGAGCTCCACCACGTCCAGGAGTGTGGAGGTGCCCCACTCCAGGCACTCGTACTTCCCAGCCTGGGTGGCGCGCACCGATTGCAGTACCAGCACGGGGGGGCTGGGCAGTGGAGGGGGGGGGGGTCATCGGGTTAATTAGTTAATTAGGGGGAGCTATATATGTGCAAGTCACTGTGTGTGTGTGGCGGAGCAGAAGTGGAGCGGTAAGCGCGTTTCGCTCCGAGCCCGGAGACCCCGGTTTGATTCCCTTAAGTGGCCACCAACATCGGTGACGATTATCTGAACCGGTCCTGGGCCTACCCTAGGTTGAGTCAGCCTTAAATAAGTACGTGGTGTGGTGTGTAAACTTCAGCATAGGGGACATAAAGCCAGCCCGGCGTGGTGCTACCCGCCCCCACCTTCTCGTGTGCCGTGCCCGCCTTCATAGGTTAGCGTTGGTATGCAGACTGCCCTATATGACATCACAACAACAGTCGGGACCACTGGAAGGGTTCCGCAGGATTGGAAGGATGCCCTGGTGACCCCCCTCTTAAAGAGCGGGGAACCACACAGACTGTAACAACACTTGTTCCAACAGTTTGTTCAGGCTACAAGGGGGGTCTTTGTCTGTGCGTGTACAGTACGTGTGTGTGTGTGTGCTGACCCGACGGTGGAGGTCACGGGGTCAGGGGGCACGCCCCCCAGCGGGTGGAGTCGCCAGGTCACGCGATGCGTACTCGCCCTGCAGCTCAGGTTCACGGAGTCCCCACGACGCACGTGAAGTACAGGGGGCCCTGCCAAGCGACACGACCATGCCCTTCATCATCACCACCATGGCCATGTCCTTCATCATCACCACAGCCATGCCCTTCATCATCATTACGGCCATGCCCTTCATCATCACTACAGCCATGCCCTTCATGATCATTACAGCCATGCCCTTCATGATCATTACGGCAATGCCCTTCATCATCACTACAGCCATGCCCTTCATGATCATTACGGCCATGCCCTTCATCATCATCACCACGGCCATGCCCTTCGTTATCAGCATCATCATCATCATCATCACGACCATGCCCTTCACCTTGTGAGGGTTGGGGGTGGTGAGGGGGGCTCCCCGTCGTGAGGGGGGCAGCCCTCGCGTCCAAACGTAGCTCTTGGGCAGGGGTCGCGATGCCCGAAGTGACGAGGAGGAGGGCGAGGAGCGGCAGGAGCATGGGCATCTGTGGAGAGAAGGGGGGGAGGGAGCATGGTGCTTGTGGGTGAGGCGGTGGGTAGTGCCCTGGGTTTGTGGTTGTGAGATTGTGGATTTGTGGTTGTGATGTTGTCGTGTGTGTGTAAAGGGCGCAGTGGCGCAGTTGTTAGCGGCCGGTTCCCCAGTTTGACTCTTGCCCATGGCTAACATCCAGTGATGAATATCTGAAACCGGTCCTGGGCCTCCCCTAGGTCGACTCGCCTTTAAATGTGTACCTGGGGAGACAAAGGCGTTCTCATCTGGTCAAAATAAGTAACTAGAGTCTCGTGGCGCTTTTTCAGGAGGAACCTGCCAAGTCCTCGGAGCAGCGGATCGATAGTTGTTGTTGCTGTAGTGCGATCCCAATTGACCTGTCTGCAGGTAGATTTCGCAAATGTGGAGCATGTGTATCGGTATGTGTGTATATATATACATCAACTGCTTATGCTGCTGTGGTTGTGCAGCCGAGTATTATGATGGGCTATGATGAAGGATCATTGCCCGAAATGCAGCTGATTATATTTTTATTTTAAGGTCTATCACACACACGCAGTGTTATTGAGGAATGTGTTTAGAGTGTGTATGTGGCTGTACGGTGTAGCTGAGTGTGTGTGGCTGTACGGTGTAGCTGAGTGTGAGTGTGTGTGGCAAAGTGTCCTCCTGGACAGCTGTGAAAAAGAGCGTTACAGCTTCAGTATAAATACATATTCTGATTCTGAAAACATATTCTGTTTCTGATCTGCCAGTCATCTCGATCAGTCAACCCATGGCACCTGGGTCTGTCCCGTGACCAGTCAGCTAGCCTTGGATACTTCATGTGGCCTCAAAGTGCACTTGCCCGGGCACAAGCACCGTGGTGACGTCACCGCCACTTAGTTGTGAACGACGGTGGTGGTTGTGGTTGTTGTGATCGTGCCATTGGCCACGTGGAATGTTCAGACTCTCGTTGCGGAGGAGAGGCTGCCACTCCTGCCACTCCTCTGTCGGGAGATGGACTGGTTCTGCCTGGACTTTTGCGGAATACAGGCGGATCTGGTGGACCGGTTTTGGCTCCAGTCATCATGAGGGGTGGACAGTTGTCCACTCGGGGCAGAAAACTACAAAATAATTAAAGTGGTGTGGGAGCGTGGTGGTGAGGTGTGGGAAGCTGTAAGTCCTAGGCTACTGTGGGCTCACCTCCCCATCAACAAGAGGTGAGGAATGTGGTGGTTGCTTACGCCCCAACCGAAGGTGAACATCAGTGGAGGCTGTTGAGTCAGATGCCTTCTGTAAACTCCTGTTCCAGGTGCTAGCTAAAGTGGCTCCTCGGGATAGAGTCATCCTGTTGGGTGACTTTAATGCCCAAGTTGGTCATGATGCTGGCACCTGGTCTGGCATGGGCCAGGTCAGCTCAATAATAAAGGAAGGAGGCTGCTCGACGTCTGTGCAGTCCATGGGCTCGTAATGACGAACACACTGTTCTAATATCGGCGCATCCACACAACATCATGGATGCACGCCAGGTCCAAGCAAGAACATCTGCTGGACTATGTAATTATAGGCCAGTGGATGCGGGCCCATGTCCTTGACACCAGGACCTACCATGGAGCTGATCTGCCCACTGACCATCGACTTGTCATCTGTAAAATGCTCCTGCCATTCTTCCACTCTGGTGAGGATAGTTGCAAGCAGGAATTTCAACATCGCTTGCAGCTGGGGTTAGCATCATGCCCTCTCCTTCTGATGCTGAGGGCAAATGGGTGAAGTTCAGGACTGCGGCTCATGCAGCTGTAACAGCTGCATTGGGTATGCGGTCCAGACCTTCCTAGAGACCCTGGCTGAAGGAGGAGATGTTTTGGCTGGTTGAGAGAAAACGACAGGCTCACTCCCACCGTCTACAAAATCCAACATCGGAGAATGAGGAGGTTTACCGCAGCCTTCGCTGAGAGATTCGGAGAGCCGTGCAGCGCTGCAAGGATGAGTGGTGAGGGTGGGTTGCTGAGCAGATGGAATCTGCCTCAATAGCCTGCAATCACAAATCAATATTAAATTCCATCAAAAAAGTAACCTGCAGTGCCTCACCTATCACCATCCTTAAGGGAAAGAACAGTAATCCGATCTCCTACCCCCAGGACCAGATCTGCAGATTTGCAGAGCAGAAGTATCCACCCCTTCTGATTGGTTGGGTGAGGTGCCATCTGTGGAGGAAGTGTGAGGGGCGATCCAAAGTCTGAGACCAGGAAAAGCACCGGGCAGAGACGATCTCCCAAGCGAAATGCTGAGAGAGGGTGGCATCTGTGTGCAGACTGCCCTACATGACATCACCACAACTGTCTGGACCATAAGATGGGTTCCACAGGATTGGAAGGATGCCCTAATGATCCCCCCCTTTAAGAGGGGGGACCGCACAGACTGTAGGGGCATCTCTCATCTCAGTGTACTGGGAAAGGTCCTGGAAAGGATTATTCAACATTTCCTTGCCAGGCAAGGAAATTGTTTCAGATCAGGGCGGTCCTGTACGGATGGCATATTATCTGTCAGTTTGCTACAGCAGAGGTGTAGAGAATTCCAACACGACCTACATCTTAGCTTTATTGACCTGGTCAAGGCCTATGATACCATCAACAGGCCAGGGCTGTGAGCAGTTCTTCGTGTTTCAGAGTCCCTAACTCTGCTCCCTATCATTAAGGACCTTCACAATGATGGGCAGGCCCGGGTAAAGTTGCGTGGCCAGGAGTTGGAGCCATTCCCTGTTCACCTTGGGGTGCGACAGAGATGTCCCTGGCTCCCACATTATTTAAGATCATCTTTGACCACGCAGTTCGAGAAGCTTTGCATGGCTTACCAGAGACATTTCCATGTGGTATGGATACAACGAGAGGTTGATCGATGTTCCGGTGCAGTTGAGGGATCGCTCCCTATTGGTCAACCATGTTATGTATGCTGATGATCTGGTGATTGCTGCTCACTCAGAGGAGGAGTTGGAGGCACTGCTGCTGAACCTGGAGCTTGACACTAAGAGTCGGGGTCTTACCATCAGCCCCACCAAAACTAAGCACCTGCCTGGGTATTTTGTGCCACCAAACACTTCACCCCCTCAGCTGTCCATTGGTGATGGGGCAGTTGTGTAGAGAGTGGAGAGTTTCCCATACATTGGCAGTGTGCTTATGATCAGCTCCGGTTTGACAGCAGAGCTCTCCGAATCAGTCGGGTGGCATTATCTTTTCATCTGCTGTGCAATGCTGTGTGGAAGCTACCCGGTCTGTCACTCTGCATTAATTTTTGGGTCTTCTCGGCCACAGTCATCCCCTGCCTTCTCTACGCTTGTGAAACATGGACCCCTCTAATGGAACATCTGCACTGGTTAGAAACATTCAGGCTGTCATGCCTACGATCCATCCTGGATTTAACTAGGCTGAATTGTGTGAGGAGTTCACAAATCCTTGAACGCTCTGGACACATTCCAATCAGTGAGCTCCTCATGGCAGATAAGGCTGCGTTGGCTGGGTCGTGTACCCCGCATGCCCAGCCACCACATGCCCAAACAGCTTCTGTTTGGTCACATAGAGGGGACTAAACGGGCACGACATGGGCTGGAGAAGAGATGGATTGATGCAGTGCGGGAGGATGTGGAGCTGAGTGGACTTGCCGACAACTTATACCAGCGGTGTCAAGATCGGCCCCCATGGAGGAGGCTCGTGAAGGATGCTGCTGCTGAGCGGTTGGAGGCAGTCGCCCTCCAGCAACAATGGAGGGCAGAGGAGCGACACTCACAACAACGAGCGGAGCGCCGGGAGGATAATAAAATGTAACAAGTTGGCACAGTAGAGGGTACAGCTGGTGCATCTACCGGTCATCTCAGTCAGCCAACCCTTGGCACCTGGGTCTGTCCCGAAACCTCCTGTCAGCGAGCCTTCGACACTTCACGTGTCCTAAAAGTGCACCTGGCCTGGCACAGACGCCATGGTGACATCACCGTCACTTAGTGGCGAAAGGCGGGTATTGGTATTGTATTTGTATTGTGCGGTTGTGAGCCTCCCACACCACACTGCCCCACTCCGCTCTCCCCCTACTACACAGCTTCCCCTCCACTCCCCACTCTTGATTTTATCTCAACAGCCCCCTCCCTACAGTCTCCTCCCCCCCTTCCCAAAGCCCCCCCCCTTCCAAGGCCCCTCCCCCCTCTTTCAGGGCCCTCCTCCTAGGGCCTCTCCCCTAACATGCAGCTCTTACATGAACTGAATAAATCATTAAGCGGGGAGAGAGTGACAGGAAGGAGAGTGTGACGGGAGATTGAGGATGGAGAGTGAGAGAGGGGGTGGGACAGGAGGGAGAAGGCGAGGGGAGAGTGACAGGGGAGAGAGTATGGAGTCTCTGTTGATGTTGTTTCCTGGAATGGCTTTGTTTAGAAGCAGGGGGGTAGACAGAGTGGGAAGGCAGCAGGGGGTGGGGGTGAGCAGTCCTCAGTACAGTCAATGGGTTCACTAATTGAGAGCGTTCCGTTGGCACTTACAGTACTCTGTGATTGTACATCATTCCCGCATGGATTTATTTTAACGCCCGTGTCAATGTAGCGGCCTAAATTGGCTTAATGGGTCACGCGAAACCGTCACAAACACATCCTATACGGGGCGGGGTGGGCAGAGACATTCCGTCCTCTTGTAGGGTCCTGGGAAGAGAGGGAGCTGAGAGCGGGGGAATCACAGAACAACCCGCTCTCTCCGCTGTCTCTCCCAGCTCTCTCCCCACCCCCTATTTCATCTCTCTCTGCCTCCTCTCTCCCATCAGCTCCCTCTATTTCATCTACCCCCCTTCCACTATCATCTCTCTTATGAGGACAGGGAGAAGGAATGGCCGGGCCCAGATGTAGGGGATCAAGAAGAGAGTGGTGGTGGTGGTGATGAGAGGGTGGTGGTGATGATGATGAGAGGATGGTGGCGATGAGAGGGTGGTGGTGGTGATGATGAGAGGGTGGTGGTGGTGGTGATGATGATGAGAGGGTGGTGGTGA